ATGCTGGTGGGTCCCGACCCTCTCTCTTGCCATTGGGATCCACGATGGCTATGTGGTCCTGTACTCCTGGTGTGAGCTCCGTGGCAGCTCCCCACTGCTGCTGGGGAAGGGCATGAAGTGTTAGACCGGTCCTGGTAGCATTGGGGGGGGGAGCAGACCCTCATCTGTTATGTGCGAGGAGCATGGGGGAGTTTGGAAAGGGGACTGAGCAAGCAATGTTTTTAGCCATTGAGTTTGGGGGGGGCAGCACCCCCAGGGGGGACATCATAATACCAAAGTTTGACGTCTCTTTAGGATCCTCTAACCCAGTGTTGGGACCAGGTGCTTTGTGGGGTGTGGTCCTGTGCATTGGAGGTTGTTCAGCAGTCCTGGCCTCTACTTACTGGATGCCAGTAGCAGCCCCCCACATTGTGACATCCAGCACTGTCTCTAGACATTGCCGAGTGTCTGTCTGGGAGGGGCAGAATGGCTCCTGGTGGAGAACCACTGCTCTATCCAGCCAATGCCCTTATTTTTCAGAGAGGAAAAGTGATTTAGGGACGGTCACATACTGTTCAGGAGCAAAGCCAGGCAGAGGCCCAGGGGCCAACTCCCAGCCCAGGGCTCTGCCCCCATCCTGTGTCCTATGTCTCAGTGACCAGTTCCTGTCTCATGGCTCAGCTGACGGTGGTAGAAGGGGGACCAGGGGTAGCAAGCACATTGTGAGCTCTGTCCTGGAATTTCTCCTCTTCCAGCTCCTCATCCCCATCCCCTTTTCAGGATGAGCCCTCCCCTCTCTACAGCGGCCACAGTGGCGTCCCCTCTCCCCCTCTTTTTTCCCTTTGGAATTAAAATCCTCTTATGAAAATAGTTTTTTTTAACTTCTACAAAAGAGTGAAATTGGGGTAGAAGCGCTGCTTGGATTAGCTCCACTTCCTTTAAGTATTTAGGAAGCTACAAGTTAGGTCAAGGCAGCTCCAGGCAGATATTGGAATTCAATTAAAGCCAACGAGTGGGGCCTGTGACCCCCATTTTCAAGGTAATTGCTTCTGCAGCTCTGAGTGAATGCAGCCGTTGCCCTGTCATTAAGCAGGCAGGCGTCTAATCGCTGCGCCTGACAGAGCCTCACAAGGCAGGAATTACGGACAGCTGAGGCCCGTTGCACTGGGAGCCAGGCTTGTCTGCAAGCCAACAAGAAGATGGCTCACCTCCTCAGGAAGGAGAGGGGAGAGGGAGCTTGCAGCTAACTAAGCTGACTTTAGAAAGTGAGGTGGAGAAGGAGGGCAGGGGGCAGGGGGCCAGGAGGGCCACAGGCGGGTGGCAAGAGAGTAGATGTCTTGTCCCCAGCCATAAAGGGCAGTGAAGAGAAGGTCCAAAGAGGCTCTTAATATGCCCATGGTGCTATGGATCAGCCCCTCTAGAGGGGGAAGTAGCCCAGCCCCCTGGTCTGGGAATTAGGAGAGCTTTGAGCAAGTTACTTCATTCCCCGCCCCCCTCCACCCCCCGCCCAGGCCTCAGTTTCCCCATTTGGGAAAAGATGGAGAAGAACTAGGCAAGTTTCTTAAATGTGCCTCCTGCTTCAGTCAGTTGTTTAGGGCTCTCTTGGGCATGGAGTTAAAGGATTCTGGGGCCATGTCTTGGCTCAGCTCAGAGAGAGGTGAGAGAGAAGTTAGGTATGTCTGGCGTGGGCATGCCTGTAGCTAATGGAATACTTACTGTGTTAATTGAGATACCTCTAGGGCGGTGGGGAATGTCCAGCCTGCAGACTGTAAAAGACCTGAGAAAGCATTTGTTCTGGCCCTGCCAAGGCATTAGGGGTGAGTTAATTAAATGTTTGACTAAATATATCAGGCTAATTTTTAATTTGATAATTTTGTATGGCTTGTGAATGATGTTACAAATATCCAAATGGCCCTTGGCAGAAAAAAGGTTCCCCACCCCTGCTCTAGGGTCTCCCTTTCCTGGTAAGAAGGGCCAGGATCCAGCATCAGATTAGTGTGAGAGGAGAGGAGACAGGGGGGCTGGTCCAGGGAGCTCAGGCTCATGGGCCCAGCCCACCTACTCCCCTGTGAGGCCACAGGGAACTCGTGTCCATCTAGGAAAGATAGGCTGGAAGATATCTCTGCTAGTCGGGGCCTGGCAGGACCCAGTTCCTACAGACCCCCTACTGTCACATGTATTTTATTAAAGTGTGTGTGTGTGGGGGGGGAGGGTGAGGAGGAGAAAGAGGGAGTTTGTATTTATCTAGAGTGGTGAAGCCATATCTAAGGTTCTTGCAATCACTCCAGGATGTTGTTGAGCTGGATTCTGTTGATTGAATTTTTTAAAATGTATTTTTCTTGATTTCAGAGAGGAAAAGAGAGAGAAACATCAATGATGAGAGAGAATCATTGTTTGGCTGCCTCCTGCATGCCCCCTTCTGGGGATGGATCCCACAACCTGGGCATGTGCCCTGACTTGGAATCGAACCGTGACGTCATGGTTCTTAGGTCAACGCTCAACCCCTGCTGGGGTCCAACCCCAGCAGGTCCACGGGTCCCCAAAGGTGTGGACGGAGTTGGCGAAGAAGGAATGACACGGAGACAGCGTTCAGTTGATCAGCAGCCTAGCCAGGATCTCTAGCCAGGATCTCCAG